TATTATACCGAAGCGATTGCTTGATTATCTTTATTTAGATCGTCTAGCCTATTTATAATAAAATATTAGAAAATATTAATAAATAAATTTCGCTAAAGACATGAGTATTGCTAACTATCTATTGTGAGAGTATGGTTGTTATCTTTATTATTAGATTGGATTTTGATGGTAGCAGCGTAAGCTAAATATGTTTACTTACTTTCTGTCTCTATTTGTTAAGTTAAGCTCATTTTATTTTGAATCTCGTGTGTACTTGCATATTTAAACGTGTTTAATTTTTTTACCAGATCATTTCAGGACGGCCATTTTTTTTCTTTATCGAAGCAGGTCATATTTTTTCTATCTATGTTTTTATTGTGTATGGCAACACGTTTTTGCTTTTAAAATTTCCCACAGTATCGTGAATGCCTTGGATGATGTATGGATGATCTAATCGTGTATCGTATTAGCTTGACTGTTAGCTTGTGTGCGTATGATCTGATTGTTTACTAGTGTGTGTGAGGAATTTCGTTTCGATTTGATTTGTATCGATATTACAAGACATTCGGACAGCACTATTAATAATTTAAACTTGGAAAAGTCATCGTAAAAAGTATTATTCATGTACTTACTCTATTTATTAGAGATAAACATCTGTGTAGGTACCTAATAATTATTTAATTTTAAAGAACAGTATTGTAACCTAAGAATTAGTCAACTGGTTTTAATATGAATCTCTTATAATATCGTTACAAGTTGCCAACAGCATTAGCTGTCAATAATCGTCTACTAAAATAGCCTTACTAACTTAATTAATAATTAATTAATCGCTAATAAAAAATAAATTTAAAAAATCGTATAAACTCTTGCTAGATTAATTGTTGTGGAAATAAAAATGAAAAAGAAAGCATTTGATTCTAAATTGAAATGTAATAAAATGACATTTAGGTGTTTTTCGTTTTTACTTTATTATTATGATTATTATATTATTAAAATAATAGTGTACTTTTAGCTTAATTATTATAAAATTAATTAATTAATTATTATCTTTCAATAGTAGTTTCGATTTGCCGCGCATTCCCAATGCGGTTTTGCTAAACATAATTAGATATAATAGTAATTTTTAAAATTCTTTTTTGTAGTTTTAAGGTGTATTAATTTAAGGATGCTGACTTACTTTTACATTGTTATTGCATTTTTAATATCAACAATTATTTTTTCACAAGAGTAATTTCAAGTGTCAACTATCAAAAAATTTACCAAAGAGTATACAATAAACATGGATTAAATTTAACGTTGGCAACACTTGAACCACAAATACTAAATTCAAACGCAGAACAGATTCTTAGATAACAGTTAAGTTGATATTAAACCTCTTTATTATTAACACTTGATGTGAAAATAAGCCAGTATCGTAGGTTAACAACAGCTGGAGCGGGAGACAATGTAGCGGGCGCACATCGCGCTACCCACACCCATCCCTGTCCCTGTAAGTACCGCCGTACATACAGCTTGACATACCCCGTGATCCTGTCTTGTTATAAACACTTATAAATCGAGATTATTGCCGTTATTTACTTATTGTGTTAATTGATTTTCTACCTAGTCGTTTTTTAAGAAAAAGTTGCATCACACTAGGGTTTTCTCTTGTGCTGTGGGTGCGTTTACAAAATATATATCACACCCAGACTCAGAACACCAAATTGTGGATCACACAAAGAGTTTTCCGTGTGGGCATCAAAAAGTGACACTGCGCTGTAGCTAGTCGACACCGAGCCAACAGTCAAAGTTTTAAGTCAGTCAAGTTCAAAAATCATTTGGTAAAATAACATTAAGAAATTGGCCTAAATTGTCATTTACGAACTTTCGTGGTGTATTTGCAGGATACGTTTTTGCCATCTCGCAGACTGGCTGGTATAGATAAGAGAGCTGTCAGTAAATCGATTTCTGGAAATAATTTGACTACAGTATGGCAAATTTAGCGTTCAAAGATTTTTAGTAGGTATCAGAGCTGCCTACCAGATTACCTAATTTTATTTTACCTACCATCAGTTTTGTAATGAGTTCCTTCGTTTTCAAATTTATATAGGTGTAATAGTAGGTTGGCGCAATGTCAAGCGTAATTGACTAATTTGTATTTACAAGTGTTTATATCAAAACTAAAAACTTCACATCCTCCACCCAGCTACATTATTTCTTTATATTTAGTGTAAATTAGCGAAACTTCCTCTTCATTTCGAGTACCTTAAACTTAAAAAGACCTGAACGTGTGGACCAATACCAATGTAAACGTTGAAACATTTTTACTACTGGTAACACTGACTTTTGCTAGTGGCAATTTACAATCATAGATAACAAATTGATTAATATATGTCAAAGGAATGTCACTTGTCTAATATTTATACCACACAGGTACTCCTATAGTTTCATTACTTCTAACTAGTGTCTGCTAGCTTGCGCCTTTAACACCCTATTTTATTCTGACTTGGTCAATAATAGTTATAATATAATATTTAAAAAGTTTATAAAACTTATAGTTATTTATTTATCTAACCGTTATTATAAGATCTCACTTGTACATAAGGCATAGTTACGATTTTAAGCCTTTGAACACGCCATTCTGTCGCTTAAGCTGACAGATCAAAATAAGTCGGCGCGTGAGTGTAATTTTATTCACCTTCTGGTCATAATATTAAGTAATTTCCATATATAATCCGTTGAATAAATTCTAGTGTAAGTTTTTAATATTAAGATGTATTATCGAGTTTCCGAACCTGTAACAGGCTTGCTTTATATGCTTCGACATTGTTTTTAATGAAGAGACGTTTATAGATTTTCAAAACTAAATTATTCAACTCTTATAAGACGATACGCAAATGATACTCAACTTTAAGTGGCCCTCAAAAGCTGTGACGTCATGAGATCTTAAAATACAGCTTAAATATTGAGTAAAATTTGTGTGTTCGGACATCCATCACTAGTTACCCTGTAAAATGAATTGTCAATATTCCATTTCTGGGTATAAATGAAAAAAGAAAATAATGGATTCTAGGGACTAGGTAATGGATTGAAGAAGTGTGAATACTCTTGAATCTTTAGCCGATATTAATAACCAATCAACATAAGTTTTATGAAGTTTCAGAGTTAAACTTACAAGATCGGTTATTAATATTGGCAATGAAACGTTGAATAGTTAATGTATGTGTTCAGTGAGAATTAGTTTTAATATCTTGATATTATTTAGTATAGCGTTACGAAATCATATTAGTATTAGGTTGCTGTCACTCCTTTATCACGTGAACTTCGGAACATTTGCATACAGAAATATGTTTACAGTGTGGGGCGAATCTTATCAATATATATTTGTTTTTATAATATAGAATTTATGTAAAACCACACTAACCGGCATTGCTTGAATAAGTATTAAGATTGTATTGTGTATATTTTGATGTTTTTGTTATTATTTTCAATGTAAAGCGAGGGAAATCATGAAAAATTGTTAGTTATCAAAAATTTGAGATATTCTTTATTTAGATTTTTTTCCTTGATATCTCATTAATAGGCCTAAACCTTTCTATAGATTAAGCCCGTAGTTAATACAGGTCTTAGTATACTTTTGAAATATTTTACTAATGGATATTCAAGTGTTTTAAATTTTACAATGACGATGTCGCTAAGCACCATCACCTGTGCCAAAAATATGTAAATATTTTCCGTGATAAATTAGTATTCTATTGAATATTTGTAACCAATCATTTTTATCTTGCTAATTATATTTTTTGATTCTATATTTTATTAGTGGCAATTCCTTACCAAATTTTTTTGCGCTGGTAACTTCGATGCTAGATTAAGAGTTGCTAGACCTAAACCGATTATAAAATAAAGTCATGAAATGGAATTAGTCCACTAATAAAATAAAAGCGTAATCACTTCTCACATTAAACTAATTTTGCACTTTATCCAATTATGTAAGCAAATAATTAAGCACCATTATAATAACTTATAATCGTACACTGTTATTTTATTCCAAGAGTATTGTTATCGTTGTTTAAAGTTTAGTTTGATCAAATAATACAATCAGTCTTTGAATATACTGCCACCATAAATGGTTTAATAAATTAAACTTTAAACAACGATAAGAATCAATTTTGAATTAATGTTACTCAAGAAATGCATGTATTGTTAAATTATTATCTGTATTTGCAATGCTTCATTGAATTTTTAAACTACACTGCAACTATTTCTGTGATAAATCATCTTTCACAAGGAAAGAAGAGTTGCTTAGACCTAAAAATGTATTGATAATTTGTAATACGAAAATCTCAATTGACATCTCACAAACACTTCATCGTTGTTTTTTAGAAAACGTGTGCCAAAAATATTATTATTTCATCAATTTTAGTTACACATGTCTTTAAAACCTAAGCAACTCTCCTTTAAGCTATTTAGAGGTCTATTCGAATTGGCGCGTAATAAGTAGTGAATGACATTAAAAAGCGCGCGAGTTTTGACAAGAGCCGCCATGTTTGAAAAGACCTATTTTTAATGTAAAGTGCACTTTCAATTTCCGTTAGTCTACCGTCGTCGCCTCTCACTAGGGTTAATTAATAATTATTATTAAAGTTTTGAATTTTAACCAATTTGCGATGATAAAATATGGTTGTGTGCGGATACAACTACCAAAGTATGATATAAATGTCTGCACGCGATCATGGTTTATGAGATTTTATTGCATATTCTATTATTAATATCGATAGTGTAGTAACAGTATTTCGATTTGTAGTATTAAATTTGTCATTTTCAAAGATTTTTGGGGCATGTAGCCATGTGTTGGGGAGTGTAGCCACGTGCTGGGGTGAACAGCCACGCACTGGAGTCTCTTTCGGTAGATCTGTGACTGGGATCTCTGGATGTTTGTATGGTTTTCTCGGAGGTGAATGTCGATTGTACTCAACAATATAAATTTCTAATCCATTAGATTTTATCTGTGTTTTATTTATGTACAATAATCCCTAAATGAAATACATCCAAAAACAAGGTTCTTAAAAAACTGAAGCAGTAATATTATAACTTGATCTCCTTTTCTCCTCTCATCACTTGGCTGAGCATCTGGTTGCATAACGCTGCGTATGGATTCAGTTCCACTACCTGGAAATTATAACAGAACCTTCAAGTAACAGATAGTACAAACGAATTTATTATTCTTTCGAATTACTAAATGAATGCTTAGCAGCAGAGCATAAGCACGAGCTGACAATGACTTAAACAGTAGAAGGATAAGAATAATCTTCTTACATTAGAGGAACTACTAATAGCAAACAAATATGTACTTACCTACTTACATACATCAACATGTAAAAGATTTAACTACTAACCTGTTTTTTAGCAAAGCTGCTGCCAAGTTTAGCAGCTTCAGTGAAAACTGCGCGCGCATCGTCATCGCTCCCTTGTTTGCGCAGAAGCACGCCCCGTTGACACAACGCTAAAGCGCGTGCGCGTGTTTTCTTTCCCTTTGTCAGATCTAAAGCGCGATTGAGGTCTGCCATAGCGACTGAAATTGTGTGCATACAGACACAGACTGTTAAACTAGAGATTATAGAGGTAAGAAACCGGCGAAAACCAGGTTTTTAAAATAGTACCTAAAAAGTTTGATCGTTGGTAATACCGGTAAAGAAATTATGCAGATATTTTCAAGTGTTAGACTAATCCTAGACTCAGATATTTTGCTGAGACTTTCCAAAACTGAATATTTAATTTAATTATTACGCACCTAAGTGGGTTTTGCTAAAACCTGACAGATCCTAAGACTACCACAAGCACAGAAACCAAATAGAGACATTTTTGTTGTCAAGGAAAAGTCATCAAAATAATGACTTCTTCCCAGCAGCCCCGGCTGAACATCAGCCCTGTAGGGCCCCATCAGTGGTGGTCTATTGGCTTTTTGAGGCGCGCGCGGAACGCTATATAAGCTCTAAGGTTCTGGTCGGACGGCGAGCTACACTTACTCACCGTCCACAGACCCGCGCTAACTGTGGGCTAAGGTCGTCTCATGATCCCTGACGCCCGGAGTGTCGCCTAGTGCGGCGGCTGGGGCATGAGGAGGAGGATAGCTCCCTCACCCGGTCCGCTTCCTTCTTTGCGAGCATAACTACTCCACAGAAAGAGAAGACGGCAGAAACTTAGATCATTCTTTCGCCCTAGGTAATTCTGAATAATAGGTACCCAAACAAAATTTGAAGTAGCCTAAAAGCATCAAGAAATCTTTACCATCATCTTTCATCATCATGCGTAGTAACTGTGCCCTGTCATTGTACGCGGCAGCTCGATCTGGCGCAGCCTCTACTGCTCTCGTCATGGCCGCTAGCGCCTCATCCAGTTTGCCAGCCTCTGCCAACCGGACTCCTTCGGCAGACAGCGCGATAGATTCTTTGTAAGTATCAGTGGATGGTTCTGGAAATAACATTGACGGCAATCAGATACGAATAACTGAAGATTACATTGTCTGGCGTGATGTTCGAGTGGTCTTGTCCGACAGTCAACGAAAATGGGCTGATTAATGATGATGATGATGAAAAGGAACCAGAAGTTTTAGCCAAAAAATAACCAAGTTTTCGTCACCGTAAAAACAATTGTATGTATCTAAGGGTCGGTGGATGGAGTGACTTGTTCTCGAATGAGTTAACTTTTCTCTATCAACAATCAAAATCTCAACTCATCTGCAACTGCAACTACCTTTATGTTTTTTTTTTTGTGTATAATAGGTACCTATGTCTATCGTTCTTGGTCTTTCGTAAACCTTGTCAGGTATACCTCAAAATCTAATCCATTCTATCTTGGCTAAAAAAGGGGTGGGTGGCCCTTATTCGAAAATTGAGATTTTTTTGTGGTCTTGTCTTGAAAAGGATCGATTTATAAAAAAAAACCATCCTTTACCTATTTTTTAAATTACCTAGAAATGTAACTTTATAAGGATTGTTCCTGCCCTGGGTCTACTCATAGTCGTGTAATCGTGAAAAATTATTAATGCAATAAGTAGGTACCTAATCAATCAAATCAAAGGTATCAAATCATATTTAATGCCAGTCACGTCAACGATACAAACGACGCGACATACCTAATGTCAAAGCATTGAAACCATTCACTTCGTGCATAATTGTAAATAACGGAAAATGGTAACACGCATAATAATTATTATAAATCTGAAGGTTAAAAATTGCTCCAGAATTTAATGTTATTAAATATGTAAGTACAGTTACTTATCTAACTGAGTATTTACCTATAGATAAAACAACAGCACACACCGATTCGCCGATTTTGCAAGTTCCATTGAAACAAAAGTCGATTTTATTGCAAAAAAGAATTGATACACTTTAGGATTCATAAATTCTTACTTATCTACTGTAACGTCAATCTCGCCGACCCTGTTGCTCAGCAGTTTTTTTAACAATCTCATTGATTTATAACTTTTTTGAAATAGGTCAGGTAATAGCTGCGTTGTTTTATACTATTCATAGTGTTCGTTATAAAAAAAAGGTTGATAAAAAAGGATAGGACCTTTTTAGAGGGCTACACAAATATCTCTGTAGTTATTTACGATCACGCACAAATCGCCACCAATCGGACAAGTCTCTTAGGTATAGGAGGTTTAATAATTGATTTCACATTTGACGCGGTGGTGGGATCGATCCCCGTACGGAACAAATGCGTGATCAACAAATTTATTTGTTTTGATATTTGGATGTCTTAGTCTAAACTACTCTGAGAAGAAATGACGAAACAAACTCCGAGGTCCGTCTCTTAAAGTCCAGACAATGTAAAATTCATAAATGTAAATATTATTGCAATTTGATTGAACGGTTGGCGCGTTGGCTGGGCAACTGGTTACAAGGCGAAGTGTCATGGGTTCGATTCCCGTAAATTGTTGTTCCAGGTCTGGGTGTGATGTGTATGTCAGATTGTATGTTTGTAAAGGCATCCACGACACAGATGAAAACTCTTTTTTTAAACGTTTTTTTTAAACAAAAATAATGTAATGTGGTAGTAACGAGTTATCACATTATTAATATTATCTTATTTAATTCCAAACAATAAAATCAAAGCACCTTAATTAGAAACACTCCATCATACATTCATACCTTGTTCATCCTCCACAAACTTGTCAGCAGCGTCCTCAACTACATCAGCAGCTATTGTAGCTGTGGGGTCGAATATGCTCCGGAGCACTGCTTTGTCCCTCTCGCTGAGATGATCCAAGGCCGCCATTTTGACCACACGACCGTCCCGGCACAACTCTTGTAGTCAACTAACAGGTACATCGAACCAGTTTCTATCTAGTTGCTGGTTTTGTTGTGAATTTATGACTATACGGTTTGCTTCGGGTCTGCCTCTGATATTTTTTATTCGCTTTGTCTTTATCGTTGGCAAAGCTTCCCTAGGGGTGATTTAAGCGGAGGGCACTCGAGTTTAATTCCTGGATCGGGAAATTATTAATATAAAAAAACAAAATCATGTTGTATTTTGATTTTTTTGTCGAATATTCTTAATAGGTACCTAGTAGTTTGGAGTCTAAAATTTAATTGTGTGTAACAATGGGTTACTTCCCTGTCACTTATAATATTACTTGTGCAAATTAAGTGCCTAAGTGTAGATAAATAGGTAGGTATCAAGGACAGACAAGACTGCAAAGTTGTATGGTGTAAAAATCTTGTAGTGCAAACTGCAAGTCGATAGGTGTACCTACCTATCCACTTGCGCAATGTCATAAAACGCATCCATTTGAAAGTAAGTAAACTATGATCCATAAAATGAGTTGTTAAGTTATTACTTACCTAACTAAAAAAAGGAAACCATTTAGAGAATCTTTTCTCGAGAATCTAAGACACTTTTCGGAGACCCACAACAAAAAAGACGCACGGACAACCTTACCATTTTTTGTATAGATAGCGATTTTATCTAACCCACAAAGATTGTGAGAATGCTAAAATAAAATACACATTTAATTATTAAAAGCAGACTTGTATCAACATTATGTAAATTTTTAAAACTGGTTGTGTGTTTATGCTTGAGAACGATCTGCGCACAAGTCGAGCTAACCAGACTGACGCGAAATTATGAATTGAATGATAATAATCTATTCATAAAAAATATTGTGGATTCGGTCGTCATTGTAGATACCGATAGTCGTGTCAGCCAATGGCTTAATAGCTAAGAGCCTCGACCAACTCCTTAGGAGGCTCTTGTTAGGTGGCTGGATCAAGGGCTTAATTCAGAAAGTGGTACCTCCTCCTGGACACGGGTCGTATTGTCAGGAGCTTCCTTTCTCTCGAGCCCTGACCGCCGGTAGCTAGCACCCTGTTTCCGATACCGGAGGACCACTATTATTTACACATATTTTTAAATGTTTTTTCTTTTATTTTCAAAGAAATGTTTAAAAATATAATTTGTGTTTTTAAATTAGGTATAAAGGAAAAACTTGGTATTAGTTTTAAATGCGTAAGTATTGCTTAATAAAGTTATAAGAAGCATTGATCCAATTCCCACGCTAATTAAATGTCAGCAACTTCTGTCGGTTTGATCATAATTATTTTGTAAGAATTAAAAACGTCCGGTCAAACAATTGCCTTATTCCAATGATCATAAGAAGCACAGCTGATTAAAGTGATCAAATGGTGCTAGCGAGGAATAATGTATCGTAGCCAGGAGGAGAAGAAATGGTGTTTCTGAGAGTCTGACACTCTTTCTCGTCCCAACCAGGGCTGACGGTCTCATTGGATGATTAATCCCGGTCAAAAAAGGGTCTCGAGTCCGATTCGTAAGTGGGTCTACCTATTTTTATGATATGATGTTTTTTCTATTAGTTAGGAGTAAGCTCATCCTATTAATGTCGTGGTGGCCCGGATGTTAAGGCGCCCGCTTCTACCAATGTGACTTTTCCGAGATACTTTCTATGATTATTGACACCACTGACATATGGTGAAGGAAAACATCATGAGGAAACCTGGACTTAAAATTTCTCATTATAGGTTTGATATAGCCAACCCGCATTGAGCAAGCGTGGTGATTAATGTGCAACCATTTTGTGTGAGTAGAGGCCTTTTTTCAGCAGTGGGCACATACCTATAGGTTCATGATGAAGATGACGCAGCTCATCCCATAATTCTACATTCTAACTAGTAACTTGAGATAGCGCCATTATCTACACTGAATATTAGATACTTTATGCACCTTCTCCTCCTTCTTTTTAGCTCTCTATGTTAGATACTCCTTGTATTTAACATAGAGAGCATTCAAAACGTATTCCGTCGGTTCGACTGGAGCCATAACACAGCCTGACAGAAAACAAAAAAGCTTCGTTGTATCTGCCAAAAAGCGGCACTGCAAGTGCCGCTTTTTGGCAGCATTCTTATGATTGTAGGGTATAGCTAAGAGACATACATAATTATACACTTACATAATCACATACATACATAAATACATATACATACATACATACATAAATACGTACATACATACTTATAAATAACTCATACACAATAAGTCTAAACATTACACTAACAATCTATAAAAATATTTATTTTGTATTTGTATAACATCTGTACACAGCCTTATACGCACGCACGCTTGTACACACCCTTAGCTATACCTACCGTCCAGCCGCTAGCGGAGCCCCGGCGCCCGCGTTGCCAAAGTACCTAACGTTCGGGGAACCGCTCGGTATACGGCGCGCTGTCGCCGCCTCCACCCCGCGCTCACGAGCCGCGCCCCTCGCTCGCCCTCGACAGTCCGCATCGGCCAGCGATCGCGCGCGCATCGCCGAACATTACTCGCGTAATATTTAAGTTAATGTACAAATATCTTATTAACTATTGTATGATAACTTTTGTATTTCAATAATAAACATTTATAAGTTAGTCCGTAGTGTTTAATTTCTACCTGAACACTATAGACACCACAGTGGTGACCCCGAAGACTTAACACGTGCTAATAGTGCTACCTGTGCTACCTACCTCGTGCGGGAATCGTGGACTCAGCGAACCTAAGTGACAATATCCAAGTGCCTTACGTGATACACAAAATGTGTGAATCAGGAAATGACGCGAAGACTGATGCAGCGGCATCACGGGACATTTTTCGCGTGGGCGTGCGCGTGCCGCCATTTTGGCCCGAAAAGCCCGCGATTTGGTTCGCGCAAGTAGAAGGCCAATTCGCAATTTCAAATATCACGGCGGACACAACAAAATTCTTTTACATCGTCAGTCATCTCGACCCGAGATACGCGTCGGAGGTAGAGGATATCATAGTCAACCCACCAGCGGCCGAAAAATACGAACGATTAAAGACGGAACTTATTAAGCGGCTCTCGGAATCGCGGGAAAAGAAGGTGCACCAACTACTGACACACGAGGAGTTAGGTGACAGAAAACCGTCGCAGTTCCTTCGCCACTTGCAGCACCTCGCCGGCCCCAAGGTACCCGATGAATTTTTGCGGACAATATGGTCCAGTCGTTTGCCTAGCAGTATACAACCAATAATCGCCTCACAAGAATCATCGCCTCTAGAAGTTCTCGCTGATCTCGCCGACAGGATCCATGATGTCGTGCCGAGAGGTCACGAAGTTGCCGTCGCATCGTCAACACATGGGGTGAGTGATTTACATACCATAAATCAACAAATGGCCGAGCTGAAGAAACAAGTGGAATTATTAACACAAAAAGTTGATAAAATTTCCCGCCGAAATAGATCAAACAGTCGTAACCATTCGTCTTCCCGCCAAAATCGATCTCATTCGAGTAGTAAGGTACATCCAACATGCTGGTACCACTTCAAATTCGGTGAAAAGGCAACTAAATGTGATCAACCCTGTGATTTCAAATCGGAAAACTTCAAAAGCAGTCAGTAATGGCGGCTGACGACTGCTCAACTTGTAAAGGCCGCCTATTCATTTCCGATAAACGTACCGGCGTACAGTTTTTAATAGATACTGGTTCCGACGTATGTGCCTACCCAAGATCGTATCTAAAAAATCAGCTGCATTACCGTTACAACAAACAATGTAACTACGAGCTGGTCGCTGCCAATGGCACACCGATACCTACCTACGGCACGTACCAACTTACTCTGAATCTTGGATTACGCCGTGAATTTATCTGGAAGTTCATTATTGCAGACGTGTCAAGACCTATTATAGGCGTCGATTTTTTAAGTTACTTTAATTTACTAGTCGACTGTCGACAACAAAAGTTGATAGACTCAATAACAAACCTGACCGTCGGCGCGCCTTCAACCAAAGAAATAACACATGAACTAGTGTCGTTAAAAACTATTACAGGTCATTCAACTTATCTCGACCTTCTTCGACGCTACCCTGAAATTACGAGACCTGCTGGATCTCAAATAAAACCGATCCATAACACCAAGCATCACATAAGAACTACACCTGGACCCCCGGTAACATCACGACCGCGCCGCTTGGCACCCGATCGCCTGAAAATCGCGAAGAAGGAATTCGAGCAAATGTTACAAAACGGTACAGCTCGTCGCTCTGAAAGTCCATGGTCGTCTCCATTACATCTCGTACCTAAAAAAGATGATGGCTGGAGGCCATGCGGCGATTACAGACAATTAAATTCAAGGACCGTTCCAGATCGATACCCAGTAAGACACATCCACGACTTCGCGTACCAACTGTCAGGATCCACCATATTTTCTAAAATTGATCTCGTCAAAGCTTTCAACCAAATACCAGTTCACGAAGATGACATTAAGAAAACTGCTATTACAACGCCATTCGGATTATTCGAATTTCCCGCCATGACCTTCGGTTTGAGAAATGCTGCACAGACGTTCCAGAGATTCTTGGACGAAATTCTTCAAGGTTTGGATTTTACTTTCGGATTTCTTGATGACATTCTCGTATTTTCAAAAGGGGAAAAAGAACACATTGAACACATGACGAAAGTTTTCGACCAGTTAAAAAAATATGGCGTCGTTATTAATAGTAACAAATGTGTTTTAGGTGTTAGTGAAGTTACATTCTTAGGCTATCATGTATCTGCAGCCGGCATACGACCTCTCCCAGAAAAAGTACAGGCCATCCGTGATTACCCCATTCCCAAAACAGCTAAGGAATTGAGAAGATTTTTAGGTATGTTAAATTTTTACCGTAAATTCCTTCCTGGTGCTGCGCAAATTCAGGCCCCCCTCAATCAAGCTTTGAGCGGCCCGAGTATCAAAGGATCAACGCCTATTGTCATAACAGCTGA